CAAAAGGAGATGCCTCTGTTTCCTGTTTTACTTTGAAAGGAGTTGACCCCCTGTCTCATGTGTCTGTGTTTCCCCTCCTCTCTGATTGTGTTTCCCCTCTCTTGTGATTATTGTGTATTGAGTCTTGCCTTCCCTTGTGTTCCTTGTCGATTCGTCGTGGGGTTTTGTTCTGATGTCTGGATGTCCCTGGTCTGCCCTCCTGTGTTCCCGGTTTATTTGTTACTTTCCCTTTTGTTCCACCTTGTCTTTTTATTTATTTCCGTCCCCAGCCTATTTGGACTGCTTTTGGGTCTGCATATACCAAACCGTGACCCCCGACCCCCTGCTGTGCTGAGATTGGTGCTTAATTGAGGGGATTTTACAGATCATTAAGTGGGCACATATCAACACTGCGCATGTTCTAAATGCATGTTTGGAATGGATTACAGTCAAACCTAAACTGGTCTTTTCACAGAGTTGCAGAAAGTAATATATGCAGCCCCTAAAATATGCGGTTTGATGAAGGTCAACTTGCATATTTTCTACTTTTTAAAGCTGTTTTTTTTCTATTTTGAGATGGTTAAATGTAACCTTATGTGCAATGCTTTGTTTGTTTATGCTGCTGCAACACAAACATTCCCAATTTAGGATCAATAAAGTACATCTCATGTTATTAGTTTGGGTTTCGGACACTGTTAGACGATCCTGAAAGCACCGGTTCGCTTGATACCTTGATCACTAAAACAATGTGTCACAGGCTGGTTCTGTTGTTACTGAAGATGAATTCACTTTAAAATGTTAACACTAGTTTGTATCTTTTTAAGATCAGCAGTCACTTATTCTTAATGATTTTCTTATTTGTTTACACCACGCAGACACCTATTAATCTCCAGAGCATTCATTTCTCCTTCTCTCCCATGTATTTCTCATTCTTTAACATGGAGACGGTACGGTGGTTTAGCCGCAGACTGGACCCTGGATCTTTTTTTGACTTATCAGCTTTTCTGTAGGACTAACCATTACAAATTAAACTGGAACACTGTCCTCCTCCTAAGTGCAAAATAACTTCCTGTATCCTAAAGAGAAGTGTACTGTATTCCCTCTGTGTGTGTTCTGTTCGTCAGCGTGACCCAAACATGTCAGGAAGCATCAGAGCAGAACTGAGCAGAAAGAGGATCCATAGTTTCTCCAGCAGGCGACGGGCCAAGTGCCGCATTCAGCATTCGGCATTCGGCATCCGGCATCCGGCATCCGGCATCCGGCATCCGGCATCCGGCATCCGGCATCCGGCATTCAGGCATCCGGCATCCGGCATCCGGCATCCACCATTCAGCATCCAGCATTCAGCATCCAGCATCCAGCATCCACCATTCAGCATCCAGCATTCAGCATCCAGCATCCAGCATCCAGCATCCAGCATCCAGCATCCAGCATCCAGCATCCACCATTCAGCATCCAGCATCCAGCATCCAGCATTCAGCATCCAGCATCCAGCATTCAGCATCCAGCATTCAGCATCCAGCATCCAGCATCCAGCATCCACCATTCAGCATCCAGCATTCAGCATCCAGCATCCAGCATCCAGCATCCAGCATCCAGCATCCAGCATCCAGCATCCAGCATCCAGCATCCACCATTCAGCATTCAGCATCCAGCATCCAGCATCCAGCATCCAGCATTCAGCATCCAGCATCCAGCATCCAGCATTCAGCATCCAGCATCCAGCATCCAGCATCCAGCATCCAGCATCCAGCATCCAGCATCCAGCATTCAGCATCCAGCATTCAGCATCCAGCATTCAGCATCCAGCATTCAGCATCCAGCATCCACCATTCAGCATCCAGCATTCAGCATCCAGCATCCAGCATTCAGCATCCAGCATTCAGCATCCACCATTCAGCATCCAGCATTCAGCATCCAGCATCCAGCATCCAGCATTCAGCATCCACCATTCAGCATCCAGCATTCAGCATCCAGCATTCAGCATCCAGCATCCAGCATCCAGCATCCAGCATCCAGCATTCAGCATCCAGCATCCAGCATCCAGCATTCAGCATCCACCATTCAGCATCCAGCATCCAGCATCCAGCATTCAGCATCCAGCATCCAGCATTCAGCATCCAGCATCCAGCATCCAGCATTCAGCATCCAGCATCCAGCATCCAGCATCCAGCATCCAGCATTCAGCATCCAGCATCCAGCATCCAGCATCCAGCATCCAGCATCCAGCATCCAGCATCCAGCATCCAGCATCCAGCATTCCAGCATCCAGCATTCAGCATCCAGCATCCAGCATCCAGCATTCAGCATCCAGCATCCAGCATTCAGCATCCAGCATTCAGCATCCAGCATCCAGCATCCAGCATTCAGCATCCAGCATTCAGCATTCCAGCATCCAGCATCCAGCATTCAGCATTCAGCATCCAGCATCCAGCATTCAGCATCCAGCATTCAGCATCCAGCATTCAGCATCCAGCATCCAGCATTCAGCATCCAGCATTCAGCATCCAGCATTCAGCATCCAGCATCCAGCATTCAGCATCCAGCATTCAGCATCCAGCATCCAGCATCCAGCATCCAGCATCCAGCATCCAGCATCCAGCATCCAGCATCCAGCATCCAGCATTCAGCATCCACCATCCAGCATCCAGCATCCAGCATCCAGCATTCAGCATCCAGCATCCAGCATCCAGCATTCAGCATCCAGCATTCAGCATTCAGCATCCAGCATCCAGCATCCAGCATTCAGCATTCAGCATCCAGCATCCAGCATTCAGCATCCAGCATCCAGCATCCAGCATTCAGCATCCAGCATTCAGCATCCAGCATCCAGCATTCAGCATTCAGCATCCAGCATCCAGCATCCAGCATCCAGCATTCAGCATCCACCATCCAGCATCCAGCATCCAGCATTCAGCATCCAGCATCCAGCATCCAGCATCGAGCATTCAGCATCCAGCATCCAGCATCCAGCATCCAGCATCCAGCATCGAGCATTCAGCATCCAGCATCCAGCATCCAGCATCCAGCATCCAGCATCCAGCATCCAGCATCCAGCATCCAGCATCCAGCATCCAGCATCCAGCATTCAGCATTCAGCATCCAGCATTCAGCATCCAGCATCCACCATTCAGCATCCAGCATTCAGCATCCAGCATCCACCATTCAGCATCCAGCATTCAGCATCCAGCATCCAGCATCCAGCATTCAGCATCCACCATCCAGCATCCAGCATTCAGCACACAATAACAAAATGAATATTTGATTTGGACGCTGGCAGCCACTTCCTGTCTCCTGCAACGAGGAACAAAGCAGGATCTCCTGTTTCACAGCTTTAAATAGAAATAGAACCGCCCTGCAGGACGCACAGAGACTCAGAGACAAACTTATGAAGTTCCTACACATCGAGACAATAGTGTACTTTGGGTGGCTCCACAAAGTCTGGCTAACATCAATGACAAAATGTGCTTGCAGTTACTAAAACACAACAATGTCAGAAACTTTGAGTAAAAACAACTATAATACACTTATTCAAGCTGACATTGGACATCAAGCTGGATTTGAGACTTTCTAACCAACAGACCCCAGCATGTCAGGTTGGATAATCTCTCTTCCATGACCCTCTGCCTACATACCGGTGTCCCACAAGGCTGCGTGCTGAGCCCCCTCCTCTACTCCATACGACTGTACCCCTGTACATGGTTCAAACACCATGATCAAGTATGCAGACGACACAACGGTGATCGGCCTCATCCACAACAACGATGAGACGGCCTACAGGGAGGAGGTTCAGCTGACTGAGTGGTGTGCTGACAATAACCTGACCCTTAACACAACAACAACAAAATAACTCATTGTGGACTTCAGGAAATCGAAAGGCAACACACACGCTCCCATCCACATAAATGGAACGGAGGTGGAGTGTGTGTCTAGCTTCAGGTTCCTGGGGGTCCACATATCCGATGACCTCTCATGGTCCAACAACACCACTAGTAAAGAAGGCTCACCAGCGTCTCTTCTTCCTGAGGAGACTAAAGAAAGATCACCTCTCTCCTCAGATTCTGGTGAACTTGTATCGCTGCACCATTGAGAGCATCCTGACCAGCTGTATCACAGCCTGGTATGGGAACTGCACAATGCTCAATAGGAAGGCATTGCAGGGGGTGACGAAAATCCCTTGTTTACTGAATCCAAAACAATAAGCCAGTGATTTGTTGCTGTTGAAAAGCCGTGCACCTTCGAAATCCTTCATGTACACCCGGTATGTTTATGTGTGCTTTGTGTGTGCTTTGTGTGTGCTTTGTGTGTGCTTTGTGTGTGCTTTGTGTGTGTGAGGACCCCAGGAAGAACGGGATCCTAATAAAGAATAAGAACACGGTTAAATTTCTCCTGCCATTATTCCATTAAACCTCCATTAGCTCTGTGCTGAGGTTTAGGAGACACATGTGTTCCCAGGTGAGTTCACTGAGGGGCTCAGCTGGGGCTCAGGTGTAAACTCCATCTGAGTGTGTCTGGGGGGGGGGACACAACATGACCCTAAACATTTCCATGGAGACAAAGAGAGCGAGTGAATTGTCTATATTCTCAGATGTGTTGATTTGTGAAGCCCTCTGAATCGGCCCTCAGCAAATTAAAAAAGTATAATGAAACATGGCCCACAAATTAAACGTATGCTATTGTACTTCTTACATATATATGTTCAGATATATAACACAGTATTCATGTGTTAATAAGCCCACTTTTCAAATAAATTCAGTCAATTAAAGTTGAAAACATGTTCCAACAAATCTTAGTTGATAAGAAAAAAGTCCAATAAGTCAGTTACATAACAACCTTGAAATATACCCTTCATATTTCCTCTTATTATCATCAATCTGAGATTGAACTTTTAACTGAACTTATGAGGCGATAAACCTCTAGTGAGTGGCCCAGCCCTTCGAAAACAGTTTGGACACCCCTGGGCTGTATAAATACATTTGTAATTGAATGGAGTCATGTGAGGTGATGTTTGGGGTCCTCACCTCATAATGGGCCACCCTCTGGGACTCGGAGATGAGCTGAGCGCTGCACACTTTGCAGTAACTGTCCGTGAAAAGACCGTGATCCACTTCTGTTGACTTCATCTGGAGAGAGAGAGACGGAGACATGGTTACTGAGCTGGAGGACGAGGACGTGCTTAAACCAAAGTTGTGTTATTTAAAGGTTCATGCTATTTTTAGGCATATATCATGGGTCTCAGAGATATAAAAACATGTTTATGATGTGTTTTGCTCAAAATACCAAACAGATTATGCATTTTAGACATCCCTCATATCCCTCTGTTTCAGCCCCGTTACTAAAGTGCTGATTCTGGGTGGAGGAGGTGGAGCTAATGCCTGATCAGAACTCTCCCAGCAGAAACTCAGCTAAATGCTGCCGTGATGAAAATCCATATCATGTTCCAAACCACATCAAGGATTCTCTCTATATAGAAATTGTATTGATTGGGATAAACCCCTTGAGATGCACCATCTCGTTTTCAAGGGGGTCCCGACAATAGCAACAACTTACAGACATACATAAACAAAAAGACAAAATGAAAAAAATGACACACAAGACAAACCACATGCAGTCTTTAAGTGAAATTCAAGCAATGCATACAATCATTACAATTTGAGACAGTCAAGCAAATCAGTTTCATCAATATCAGTTATAACAAGTACAGACCAGTTGAAAGTGAGATAACAATGCATGTTTAAATAAACCCAATGATGCAAGAGATCTAATAGCAGCAGGTAAAGTATTCCAGTCAGTTGGGGCTTTGAACATGAACGCTCTTCTGCCAATACATTTGTTTGCAGAGGGGACAGAGAAATAAATCTGAACAGAATGTCTAACTTAATGAATTGGTGAGTAGGGTACAAAATACTGCTTTAACTAAGGGGGATAGTTTAGATAAATGCATTTAAATATCAGCTGAAGCCAATGCGTGTGTCTTCTTACATTTAAAGAAGGCCATTTCAGTTGGTTATACATTGTGCAGTGATGTGTACGAAAAGGACAACCAAGAACAAATCTGCATAGTCTGTTGTAGGCTATGTTGAGTGGAGCAAGATCTGATTTATGTGCATTTTGGTAGACAACATCACAATAGTCCATAATCGGAAGAATAAGTTGAGAAGCAATTCTCTTTCGGACACTAAGCGTAAAACAATTGCGAGAGCGGTGTAAAACACCGATTCCGTAATTGACTTTTTGTATTACATGCTTTATATGTAGTTTAAATGAAAGTTCAGAGTCTAGCCATACACCAAGATATTTAAAGCTATCAACTTTATGCAGAGAAGTGCCATCCTTACATGTTATTACTACATTAGGTTTGGATCTGAGCTTCTGCCTGGTACCAAAGACCATGGTATAAGATTTTGATTTGTTGTTTGTCCTGTAAGATATTACAATCCGATTGAAGAGAGATCTGAATTTGTGAACAATCTGATTTGGATGTATATATGACAGTGTCATCAGCATAAAGGTGAGTACAACAATGAATGAGACAAGAAGATAAATCATTTATGTAAATAGAGAACAGAAGTGGGCCCAGAGTTGATCCTTGGGGTACACCCTTTTGTTGGATCAACAGGTCAGACTGTTTTCCATTAACAACCACACATTGCTTTCTACTGTGAAGGTACGAGTTAAACCATAACACTGTATTATTAGAAAGGCCAATGCCGTGAAGTTTATCCAAGAGCAGATATCGATCAACGAAATCAAAGGCTTTTGTCAAGTCAATAAAAATGGCACCTGTGAGTTCACCATCATCTGCAGCAGAGTACAAGTCATTTGTAAATGTAAGTAGGGCAGTTGTTGTGGAGTGATTAGGCCTGAAACCAGATTGAACCGGAGATAAAATATTATAAGTATTAACTCTCTGAAACAGGATGGAGCTCAAACTCTTTCTCTCTCTCAGGTTTACCACAAGGTGACTTCCTTTTGATTTCCTGCTTCTTCACACACACTCTCTCCAGTACAGGTTAGCTCTGAGTGTTAGCATGCTAATGTAAACACAGACCATATTACTTCCAGAACACGTCTCATTGTTTCTGACAGCAACGTTTTCTGATTGGCCCGTGGGTCTAAAGCCCGCCCACATTTTAGTAATGTGGTCATGACGCAGCAAATTTGGATCAGCTCCGTTGTTCCCCCGTTTTTAGAGATGTGTACGGAGGAAAAGAGAGAGGGGTTTATTTCCTGACACTTTGAGAGTCTCCTGACACACCGGGGACACACCAGGGACACACCGGGGGGACACCGGGGGGACACACCGGGGACACACGGGGACCACACCGGGGACACCACCGGGGACACACCGGGACACCGGGGACACACCGGGGACACACCGGGGGACACACCGGGGACACACCGGGGACACACCGGGGGACACACCGGGGACACACCGGGGACACACCGGGGACACACCGGGGACACACCGGGGACACACCGGGGACACACCGGGGGCACACAGGGACATACCGGGACACACCGGGGACACACGTTGACACACCGGGGACACACCGGGGACACACCGGGGACACACCGGGGACACACCGGGGACACACCGGGGACACACCAGGGACACATGGTGATGTAGAAAAGACATCAATAAGTGCATTTTGCCTGATAGGAGACCTTTAATAAAGAGTTATAGCATTTAACAGAATCAATGTATTTCCAGCTGGAAGGGCAGATAACCTGCACCACTGATGAAGCACAAAGATCTGAACCTGACAAAAACTTTATACAGGGAAAAGACAAAGGAAAGGGGAAGGTCTCAGCTATAATTTAGACACGCAAACACATACTAAATGCAAACGAACCAAATACGATATCAAAAAAGTCGAAAGACGAGGACATGGTTACTGAGTTGGAGGACAAGACGTGGAGAAAACTCAACCTCTCAAATACTTTTGATTTGTTCAAATGATCAAAGATTTTGGACCAGATTTAGAGATGATATAATAATAATAACATTGAGGACGGCTGTGGCGCAGTGCGCTGACCATCAGGTCAGGAGCACTGGTTCAATCCCGCCTTTAACGCCACTGTCGTTGTGTCCTTGGACAAAACACTTCCCACTAAATCACCCCTGTGGGAATTGTCCACTCTACAGTAATGATGTATTACATGTCTAATATATGCAATGTAAAGCGCTTTGGGCACTTGTAAAGGCGCTAAAATAGAAGCAAAATAGGCGAACAGGTGAATAAATATGGTAAAAATAAAAGATTTAAAAATAAGATTATAAAAAGATCATCCTGATAAAAAAACACAATAATCATAAAATAAAAAATGTATTTATAGTAATGCAAGTCTAAACATTAAAATGTCTACGAATATCACCAATAATATCGCAAGTGCAACATCTGTGAATTCTTCATTTATTTTCTAAATCCTTCAGCCTTGATTGAATCTCCTTCTAAAACCAAATGAGTTGTGAAAAGTAAAACCGGTATTTAAAGTTTTGTCTCCAACGAGAAGCCATCTGGATTGAGTTCTTGTCTCCGAGGGTCTGCAGGGAGACGAACCAGCCGAGATGTAACAAGTAAACAATAATCTCATCTCGTTTACTCGCATCACTTTTAATCAATATTTCATCACCTTGGCGTGCGAGTTAGTGACAGATGCTGAGACACTTCTGGGAGCAAGCAGCGAGCTAGAAAAACCTTTCCTCCAAGACTGAGAGCCAAATTATATCCGAGCATGATGAATAAATCACATCCACTGATCCCGCTGAAGGTTTAGCATTCAAATAAATGACTTGTTGTTGTGTCGCAGAGAGGATTCAGAAGCCTTTATTCCTCTTTCACACGCACAGCTGAGCCAGCACCGTTTCCCTTTTCCTAATCCAGGTGGGATTGGGTTAGCGACGGCAGGACAGATGAGGTCACGTCGGAGTAAAATCACACGTCCTACAACTTGTTTGAATATTCTTCACTGATAAAATGACCGGTGGAAATAACTTTTACAGTTAATTCTTTAAGAAATGTTGTTATTTGTTCTGTTTTGCAAACAAATAATGCTTTCAAATGTTTTCCAGAACAAATGACGTCTTCAACTCTTCACAAACTCTTCAAGCGATCTACAAACATTACTGGATCCTCCGGAAAAAGTTACTCAAACGGACATATATCTGAAATTAGAGCAATTTGTCATATCTGATATATTGCCAAGCTTAACGAGTTCAGGATGGACAGAGGGACATCCCATAATGTCTCTGGTTAGTAGCAGCGGTATATAAAGAGAGGGGAACATTCACCACTTCTGAATTTGAGCCACCAAGTACTTCTAAAAAGTAGTTGTATGGTCGACCAAACAACCACTAAAAGTACCAAACGGAGGCGGGACCTAAGAGGGGAAATTGGAGTCTTCTATTGGCTCTTGGAGGCTCTAAAAAAAGTGATCTGCAATCTGATTGGACTAAAACCCCCAACCAAGTGCATTTAGCTGCTGATTTCAACAAATGTATTTGACTTACATACACTTCAGTACCGTAGACATGCGAGTGAAAGCAGTTTGGGGTTAAGTATCTCACCCAAGGACACTTCCTCTGGGGATCGAACCAAGAACTCTCTTAGACCTAATTTAAAATGCAACATGTGGTCATTACCCAACACTCAGCTGAGATTCTCCTGTTCAACCCTTGGTAAAAAGTCACAGAAGATACGAGCACTCTGGAAAATGTGGGCGCTCCACCATTTGACTTATTCCACCATTGGTAAACTTGGAGGTTGTTCAATCAGAACCCACAGTATGTCCACCTTTGGTCTTTCAAAGGCCGTCTCATTGGATTAAATCCACAACCATGTGCATTTAGCTGATGATTTAACGTATCTCTTTGATTTACATACGCTTCAGTACCGTAGACATTGGGGTTAAGTATCTCGATCAAGGACACTTCCTCTGGGGATCAAAACAAGAACTCTCTGATTGGTAGATACCCTCCCGACCTCTTTAACGTCATTTCAAATGCAGCGAGTGGTCATTCCCCAACACTCTGTTGAGATTCTCCCGTTCAAAAGTCACAGAAGATACGAGCACTCCACCATTTGAGATAATTCCCCAATAGCTAAACTTCGAAGTTGTT